GGCTCAACCATTGCAGGAGCTGTCACAGGACCTATCACAAGAGTTAAGCAACGTCCGGGCTTCTGAGCTCGACATCGACGATCCCCGACTACCCGAACTACAGTCTATAGAACATGCGGAGCATGTTCGGAGCGCATTTAGTCAGCGCCAAAAGGTGTATAATAAAAGAAAGAACATAAATAGTCAATTGATGAATAGTTCAAATAAGGAACTAGCTGAGATCATCGATGATAACACAAAAGTCATCGCAAGCAAAATAAAAGCAGCAACAAGATTAAATGCTCGCAAGAGAAAAGCTTTTTGGACTGAACTAGCAATGTCCTAGAAACGCCGAGTAACACTCGGTAAATATAGAATGCGACCAGTAAAGCACACTGGGAAAGCAAGCATACTCAAATGCTTCAATAGGAGAGGAGGAGCTTACGGACTTGTACACACCCACCAGTGGTGGACTTTAGTATAAAAGGGCTCTGCTCTCTACCCAAGTTGTATTTCATCATCTCTTCACATTATCTTTTATATCTTATCATCTTCATTAGTGTACATACATCTTTATCCTGTCTGGTAGCCTCGCTCAACAGACATACATACTAGCATTTAAGCACATAACTTATTTTACAAACTTAACATTATTAGTTGTCTACTTTAACAAATCTGCTCACTTCACATTTCAATACCCGTTACCCAATTTAATCAGCCAAAAAACAAAAAATGGTTGAACCCACATCCACATGACCCCCTGCCATCACCAATAAGTAGCTACCCTATAAAGACTTTAATTAAATGCGCGTACTCACAGAACTTACGATCATCATTAAGTACTGAAAATCAAAATATCACAATCTAACAAGTTGTATCTAGATATCATGAAATTCATAGTGTGCAATGCTAATGGCAAAATCACACTTTTTTTATAAAAAAAGGTACTTGCCTGTGGACTACAAGCCACAATTTCACACAAATAAAACTTGTGAAACTTGAAACTCACACACAAATCACCCTTGGGAGCACACCTGTCATAAATATTGACCAACTGCTCAGCCAACTTGTGGTGTATGCCAAGTTTGAGACTGTAGAACTGGCTAGAGATGTCAGCAGGTACCCGAAAACAGGTGTGGGTGTGGGTGCAGGTGTTGACTTTTGGGGGAAAAAATGCAGGTACCCAACACTCCCTTTTTTGGGTGTGTTGGGCTGCAAAAAGGTGTGTGCAACCCATGTAGGACACCATTTGGTGTCCTACATGGGCTTTCTGAGGCCAGAGGGAACCCTCTGGCCTTTGAGACAATAGATCAGAGAGAAGATAAAGTGCAAATTAGTGATATAATAGTTTGTTTTTCTTTATTTCTTTATTTCTATGTTACTCTTACGTAACCCATATATCTAGTGAATATCAATCATATATTTAGTAAGTCATGCAGAAATTCAAGGGTGAGATTTCTGGGTATATTTGCCTGCATAAAATCCTCCACACCCGCAGGTACCTGGCCGAGGTACCCGGGTACCCGCCCTGGCCGCCCTGGCAGGTGCAGGTGCGGGTGTGGGTGTCCAAAATATTGGATTTTTGAGGCAGGTACCCGCACCCGGTATGAAGCAACATCTCTAGAACTGGCTGTGTGGACCCAATCATCATAAGTTAATGACATAGGGGTCACAGTGGAGTTTCTCCCACCATCTGTCAATTATGATTATGTCTAGAGATGGTCGCGGATAATCCGCCGCGGATATCCGCTATCCGCTGCGGATACCCGCCAGTGCCAGCGGATACCTGCCAGCGGGTGCGGATTCGGGTGCGGATGCACCCTTCCCCCTGAAATACTGGCGGGTATCCGGGTATCCCTTGGGATACCCGGTGCCAAGAGGCCACACCGCCGGGAGGAATCCCTCCCGGCAAGCTGATTTTTAAACCAGCTTGTCGGGAGGGGTTCCTCCCGGCGAGCAGATTTTAAACCAACTTGTCAGGAGGAACCCTCCCGGCGTGAGTCTACAGGCCAGCTCGCTGGGAGCG